CTATGCAATGCCTTCCAGAAGTTTAAACATGTAATGGGAGTTTCCATAAGGCAAATTTCTATGTGACTTCTCTTGGTGGTGTTTTGGGGGTTTGGTGGGGGTTTTATTCATTTGTTTAGTTGGGGTTTTGCTGTTGCTGTTTTGGGGGAGGGATGTTATTGTTTAGAGTTCTTTGGTTGGTTTGGTGTGGTGTGTTTTTGTGTTTGAGAGGAGGGCAGAATTTGCTAACTGGCTTCGAGGATCTAACCTGATACCAGGCAGGATCCAAGTATCTATGGAATGTTAAAAAATATTAAACTACAGTACCTCACAAGAAAGGAAGTGCTGATACTTTAAAAAGAGGGGATGAGTGTCCCCTGATAACAGCAAACCTACATAGCTTGATCTTCAGTTTTCTACTCAAAATGCAGTTCCATTCTTAAGCAGCTAACCTAAGTTAAAATATGCATCATTTCATCTTCACAGGTAATTTTTTAACAAACATGAGACAAGCTTCTAACTTGAAAATCCATGCTGTCCGGGGGGAATAGTAATAGCTGAGTTTTACACCAAAGAGTAAAACAATTGGCAAACCAGAACCTAGTCTAGACTTTGATAAAGTTGGGGTCTTCGCATTACTGGCTTTAATTCTCTGCTTCAGAAGGAAAGATGGATAAGCCTGGGTGTTGCATGAAGAGTGGAGAAGTTCCAAGGGTTTAGGCTTGATTAAAGAAGCGCAGCAAAGTCAGGAGCTATTTCGTCTCATTTGAGACAGGGTTTTCTCATTACAGCAGAAAGGTTCTCACGCATGGGGCAGTAAGTTATTTTTTCTTGTAACTTCTTTAAGGTTTTCCCCTTTTATATATTAGGTATCATGATGTTTATTTGTTTTACTTAAAGAGTAATGCACTTAAGAATCTGGATTACTGGTGCTTCTCTGTCTTTGAACTCATTCCTGGACTTCTGTAAAGTTCATGCCAAATCACACGCATAAGCAGCAATATAGGGAAAATGGTGGGGATGTAGTTTCTTTAACTGCATTTGCTACTCTGCATTGCAATATATTTCTCTCATTTCTTCAGTCTCTCTTCCAGTGAGAGCTTTCCAGTGTAAAAGTGGTATGCAACTTATTCTACAAATGTAGTATGTTTCCTTAATTCCTGGTTTGTTTTTTTTTTTTATTTCTGGATGCCCACTATGAAGTGTCTCTTTCACAGAAGCTCTACATATTAACATTGAAATGTATTTTCCATTTTGGCAGTTGATTCAGGCAGCTTCAGTAAAGCCTTAAGAGCTACCACAAGTGGTTTTGTTACAAGTGATAACTAGTGTGCTGGTACAGTGCTGTCTTCTTCCCTTGCAGCCCCGCTGTCTCAGCTATAACCACCACAATATTATGAGTACTGACCATTAATAGCCCTGTTTAGCATATTGCTATTGGCAAAGTGGCACAGAGAGGCACAGATGGTTAAAAGTTTAAAATTATGTTTATAGTTAAAGAAAAAGCTTATTAGCATTTAAAAACTAGTTTTGACACAGAAGTGAGCTTAAATTCTTTCTTTGGCAGATAAATTGACAAAGTAGTCAAGTGTTCTGATATATGTTAGTCTATTGACAGAGCAACCAGTAAGTGCAATAATACAATTCAGCACATGCATTAGTTGGCCAAGATACTCACATGCTTACGTAACTGTTCTTTGCGTTATTATAAAAATGGCATTTCCCTTACAGTTCTGTTATTAGCCAAAATAATATTCAATCAATTCTGTGTTTCAGAGTAAGCAATATGGGGGGTGGGGGGGAATCTCAAGAAGTTGTTAGAGGAAAGAAGACAGGAAAAAAAAATTCAGGTCATTTCCAGGCATCTTCATTCTCAAAAGATTCATGAAAATACATGAAAGGCACTGTACATGCTTCCAAACCACTGTCTGTGCAATGTTCAGCTTTAAAAGGTATGTAGGGAATGAAAGTGTTCTTACAAGGGGAAGATGCATCTCTGTATTCATCTGAAATGGGACTAGGATTATGAAAAGAAAACTGTTATGGTAATTATGTAAGTTGGGTGTTGAACACTTGGATCTTTGCATTAATACTATTTGACATGGAGACAGAATCCAGAATCAATCCTTGAGAATGTACACTGCATCCTTACTGTGAAATTATTGCAGAAAATTAATTGATTATAAATTGCATAATATAAAACAATATTCCAAATGTGGATACCTACTATTGTGCTTGGTCCCCATTTACAGTTTTTAAAACAAGTTATTTTTTTCCCATTCTATAGCACACAAGTGGCTGAGCAACAATTCCAGCTAACAATTTGATGGCCTGAAAGGAACTTAGTTCAAGTGCCTATGTTTAGATACTCAATTTGGAACATTTTCAGGAAAGTCTGTATGAAATAAGCAAACACAGACGTTCTCTGCTGTATCTGAAATAATGAGGTTTTATTTATAGTTAAATCCAGTGACAAAGTACTTAGGGAAAACTCACTGAACGAGCCTCGTATTTGTGCCACTTTCCCATGTGTGATCTCCTTAATGTCATGTGTGTCAGTGAACAGATAAACTGTCCTGGCTCTCTGGAGTTCATCTCTGAAAGGACTTAATTTTCTTTTTCTCACAGGTCTTTAGGTGATGAAATAGCCAAGAAAATCATTACTAGTTGGGGAGCTATTTTATCTCTTTTTTTTCTCTTTTTTTCTCCTAGAGTTAAAGGAATGTGTATCATAATTGCTTTACAACTTCCACTGCTTATCTTAAGTACTGGCATTGCACAGTGAAAATTCAAGCTTCATTTTCAGGAGTAGGCAAGACAGAGCAAAGGTATACCAAATCAAAAGTTACCTCCTTTCTAGTTTGAAAAAATTAGTTTTCAAAACACCTCTTTCATCCTAATGCTGAAAACGGTGTTTCATGTTGGCAATCTCTCTTCTATTAAAGGATATCCCAGTATTTTGCAGTAAGTTCAGAGCTGTGTCTCATTTGAACTGAAATGCTTGGTAAAAGGACTGGTTATGGCTGATGGCTTCTTACATAAGAAGAGAGTTTTAAAGGAAGGGATCATAATTGTTTTAATGACCATGTTTGATATTTTACTGTCTTTTTTTTCTATACATAGGCATCTAGCAGAGTTTTGTATACCTGAGCCGCTTGTTTTGCTGCTCCTCCTCTAGCTGTGCAGGAAAAATTGCTTTATAGTGTCATGAAGCAATTCAGTGCAGGAGATGGTTACAGATTAAAACCTAGCATTCTCAAATTATTGAAGTCATGTGGCTCTTAGTTGCATGTATTTTTGGCAGGACACAAACATCATTATGATCTGTGTCATAGTTCGCTCTTATGAGCTCTTAGAATTATAACATTGCCTCCAGTTTCCATTTAATCCCTGTTGAGAAAAATTAGAAGTGACAAGACAAACTGTAAATTAAAGGGAAAAGAGTGACTACAGCAGGCAAAGATTAAATTAAAGTCACTTAACTATTTTTGTATTTTATTACCAAAGGCCAGATTTTTGTGACCATGGTGCACAATGTGTAAGCCAATGCTGAAGCATATGGCTTACTCTGTTAGCAGTCTTAGGAGACATGGAGAATTGGATTTCTAGGAGGATTTGGTCATCCTCTCTGTCCTCTTAATGAAGGCTGTGCAGTCCATTCAGGTGAAGCTGTGATTCAGAACTGGAGAAACTTGCACTAAAACTGCTCGTGTGCGGAGAACATCCTTCATGAGGAATGTCAGTTTAGCACCTGCAATACAGATGATTGTAGCCATTTGGCTTTGCCAACTGATGCTCCAAGTTCAGCCCAACCACCAAAACCAGTGTGGACATACTGAGAAGTCAGCATTGTGGTAAGAGACTTGATAAGTTGCTATGAACTGGGGCGGAGTATGCATACACGTGCTATCCAGGGCTAGGGAAGACTTTTGCCTTTAGCACCTCGCTTTGTGGATAAGCTAAGGTGAGCTAGTCTGTTCCATGCATGTCTGTAATGACTTGCTGTTGATCCTTCCTGTTCAAGGAGTATGATGGTTACACTTTAGGGTGTACCTCCATAGAAGTGTCTGAAACTACATGCAAAAATAAGTACTGCATACGTATCTAAAGCTGCCAAGACAAAGATACATTGGCTGCAATCAGGTACTGTGAATGCAGTTGATCTATTTGGCAACATGACTGACAGGAGATCTTCAGTGTGGATTTAGCTGAGAAACAAAGAGGCTGTTTCTAATGTTATACTTCCATTAATTTATCTTAACTTTAAATAGAACTTTGTAGATTTTAATTTGTACATGAGTAACAACATTATTCAACACTTTTATCTTAAAGTAAGCTTAAAGAGACAGGGCACTGTATTGGAAAAGAAAATTTTGTGTACTTTTATTTGGTAAAGACTAAAAAGAAATGCAAGTTTCTATTGTCTTTTAAAATAATGATGTAGATTGTTTAGCTTTGTTCTTATCCAGACTTTGAAGCTCCACTTTTTAGGATGTATATAGTTGTATAAATATTTTTTTAACGCAATCAGCCACTTTAAAATTCCCTTTCTGGTTTTTAGTTCTCTAGCACTTCACAACTCTCATATGTTTTCTGTTGATTTTTCTATCCAATTCACAAATTCAGGCTGATACATTGGCAAGTATATTCAGACTCCTACTTTGACATCATAAAGTAGACATGATTAACTGACCATTTCTGTGAAGGATTACTGCTCTCTAACAAGGCTTAACTTTCAGCTGCTAGAGACTGTAGACTGAGAATTCGGAATATTGAGATGGTTGTAGTATTTTCACAAAATGGATTCAGGAGGAATTTTCATACTGTGTCTCTTATAATGTGGATGAAAGTTATAACCTTCAGCACTGCATTTTTAGGCTCCCTTTAGCCTAAACCTATACCTTGTATTTTTAGGCTCCAGAGGGGTCACCTCCCCTCACAGTGCAGCGCCCCTTTTGGCGGGGCAGCGCCTGCCCTTCCTCAGCCTCGCCGTTACCGCCCCCGGTAACGCGAGGTGGCGCTGCAGGCCCGCGCGGGTGGCCGCAGGCGCCGCGTCCCCGCCCCTCCGCCATGGCCGATGTAGAGGACGGGGACGAGCTGGGCGCCCCCCTTTCGCACCCAGGTTCGGCGGGCTCCAAGGCGGGCGGTCCCGACAAGATGTTCTCGCTGAAAAAGTGGAACGCGGTGGCCATGTGGAGTTGGGATGTGGAGTGCGACACCTGCGCCATTTGCCGGGTGCAGGTCATGGGTAAGCGCCAGCCCGCAGGCCCCGCCAGCAATGGCGGCCGCCCCCGCTGAGGGGCAGGGGTCGACCAGTCGGTGGGGCAGGGGCTGCACTGCCGCCCTACGCTGCTCCCCCCTCATGGCGGGCGGAGGAGGCAAGTACGGCTTCCGGCAGAAGGGGGGCGGCTCCGCCGCGCCTCCTTTTTCTCCTCCGCGCCCTCCGGAAGGAGGGCGCTGCGGCCCTCGGCAGCCGGTGGCGGTCTCCTCGAGGGGAAGGCCCACAGCGCCCGAGGGTGCCACATGCGGGTGCGGGCCCGTGCGGTCACCTCAGGCTGCATGCAGTTGCCGGGGGAGCGTCTCCCCGGAGCCCCCTCCCTTGACGGCCGCGGGCAGTCCTCCCCGAGCCACCCTCCTGCCGGGGTAGGCAGGAGCGCCCGCTGGGCTTCTGCCCGGGGCCTGTCAGCGTGAGGAGCAGCACTCGGGGAGTGTGTGCCAGGCCCGGAGGCGGGCTGCTGGCCTGCCGCCCCGCGCTGTGCAGGAGCGCCTGCAGAGTGGAGGCCGTTTCCTGCGCGTTGGCAAGCTCCTCCAGCGCTGAGTTGCAGCCGAGCTGACCAGAGTGCTAGATGTGTGGTGCTGCTGGTGGTGGGTGGCTGTTAAAAGAAGCAGTTGTGGATGTAGATACAAATTAACTTCCAAAATCTGTTAACCCAGGCTCTCTATCGCTTCTGCCCAAGCCTCCTAATTACTAGTGCGGTTTAACACGTGAATGCACCAAAAAAATCTATTGAAAAGGGGTTAGTTTATCTGGTTTTGAAATCTGGAGAATCTCTTTGAGAGCAGCCTTATTGTTGAGTGGCATTACTGTTTTCTGGTATCTTTTACAAATATGATATTTATCTTGGATCTTTGTATAATTTTTGAATTCTTACTCTATTATGTATCTAATCCAATTTTTACTGTTGTGCCAAGTTGTCGTGGACATAACTGTCTTCTCAGTTGGGCCTGGTACAGTCTGACGGGAAAAATGACCCAGGATTCCCTCCAGCAGCTTGCTTTTATAGGTCCAAGAGCCATGATACTACAAATCCAGCCAGGCTTAACAGAATTGAGACACAATATGTAATACTGTCATTTCTCATACATGCTTTACTGAGAGCGTTCTTTGGAATGGAAAAAGCAGAAAGGTATGTTAGGAAAAAAAAAAAAAAGCCCAGACTGAAGTGGTGGGAGATTCCCATCTTGCATAAGCATGTTTTGGAGATTGTCTTCTTTTATATGGTGAACAAAGACCCAGAGACCACCCTGGAAATAGGAAATTGGCTTCATCTGCCATATAAACGATAATATTCTGTTCTAGCCAACCTATTAGAGGGCACTATAGAAGAAGTTTTAAATGAACAAAGTCTTACCCAGATCTTTTATAAAAATATAGAATAAAAAAGTGGGCTTATAATTTTTCATATCTAGACCAAGGGAGTACTTTTCATCTGAAACTAGCCGAAAAATCTGGTAACCATTTTTCTGAGAACAAGCCACATTGTTAGATCGTGCAATTTGATTATTACTGACTTTGGTTTAGCAATTTCACATTGACCCTTCTAGACCCAGTCTGGCTCCTGTAGAGCCACTGCGTCTGCAGGAGCCTTAGGTTGGAGGCAGTGCCATATTTCAGCTGGCACTTGGTTAAAAGTTAGTTTGATTTTTGCAAGGGAGAAAAGTGTTAGCTGGTTTAATTTTCTGCTGGTTTAACTTGAACCAATGTGGTCTTCAAGGATCACAGAAGCACAAGGGAAAGAAGCAGTAATGCAGGTGATAGCTGGGAAGGGTTGGGTTACAGCAGTACTGACTTAGCTTTGCTTAACCCTTCAGACTGACGTCCTTGTGGTTATGATGCAGGAGTGGTGACAGCTTACCTTGGTGTGGTGGATAGTGATTTCTGTCTTTAGCTATCTGTATTGCTTCTCTGTCTGAAACTGCAAATCTAGGACTGAGATAGGAAAGCTGCTGTTATAGTGACTACTAGTCTGCCACCGCTTGCTGCCTTGCACATTGAAGTGACCCTTCAGTTTGCTTCAGTGTACCATGGTACAAGTTGAATCAATTTGAATGAATCTTTCCAACAGCATAGTCCTTAAATGGCACAGAAATGATGGGAACAGACATCAGGAACCTCAATTTTCTGTCTTATTTCACTGAGGAAAGGGTAACTGTTTCAGAGTTTCTGTCTTCTGTGTTCTTTATTACCTGCGAAAACGAGGAGTATCTGGGCAGATGAAACCTAAAATAGGCATACTGACTGTATATGGCAGAGAAAGCAAAAATATTCAAATCTAAATTCCTGTAGCATGTCATGTTCCTGTCATGTAGGAAAATATGGTCTGACTAATGACATGTAGGCCAGGTCCAATCTGTGGGACACTTAACGCTTTTTCCTTGGAGGAAACAAAGATGTGTTTACTTCATAATAGTTGAACACTTTCTGTTGTGTGTGATATGTGCACGTAAATCTCTGGCCCCCAGTGTCAGGGCAAAGGAGAAACAAAAGCATTTTTCCACTGGATGTTTGTGGCACAGTACTAAACCTGGAAGTCGTAACTTCTCTACCTTACTGAGTCCTGAACCTGCCATCCAGTCCTATAAGCACAGACTGGAATACATAAAGATGATAAATATTTTTAATTAGATACTGTTCAATGTTTATCTGTTTATTTGTGATTCTAGGATTTATATTATTAAATTGACCAGTATGTTTGCACGTGTATGTGACTCTTGTGAAAATTGTGTGCAGGTACTTACTAAGGAAACCCACTATATGAAAAGCAGGAGGAGGTGGGGGTCATGGTGAGAGATGTACAGCCAAAAAAAAATAAATAAAAATTTTGTGAATGATTCCCTTAAAAGGAGATGCTGACATCTGGAAAACAAAGTCCTGTAATTAGGGTTTGGCTTTGTGCTTACTGTGGTCTTAATACGCCTGAGTGCCTTGGCACGGATCTGCTTTTTGTTGTATCTACAAAATGGAGAAGGGGGTTTTGGCATTTTTTTTTTTGTGGGTTTTTTATTTTTTTTATTTTTTTTGGAGGGGGGAGGTTGTTAGTTTTTTTTTTCCCCAGCAAAGGTTATGAAAATACTAGTCATGGAAAATAAACAAAACTTGTTGGACAGTTAATAGTCCTTCTGATCTCTGTCAGATATATATTTCTTTGTCATGTGTCCTGTTTTAAAATTTAAGGGGTAATTTAATGTTAAAGGGCTGAACTCAGCATCAGACTTGGGATTTTTACCTTTGTAAATTGGTTTTAGACTTTTTATTTTCCTCTGACAAACCTATTCTTAAGATGGAATCCTGAGAATCAAATTGAGTCTTGTTCTTGTTTACTTTTAGATGCCTGTCTTAGATGTCAAGCTGAAAACAAACAAGAAGATTGTGTTGGTATGTAGTGATTTCATTCGCTTGTTTTTCAATTGAAGCTTCTCTCAGTAGGGAGCACTTTAAAGTTTGAAGGGAATACCGATTTTATTAATGCTCTCAAGTAAATGTGTTTCATTCTGCGTTGTGTCATCTTTTTACATTAGTAATACTTTATACTCTATTTTTGAGCACGAATAAAATTATTTTTCATATCAGGCTTGCAGTAGAACAGAACTTCAAATTTGCAGTCAACACGTACACAACTAAGAAGTTTCTGTTACCCTGAGCATAGCTGAGGAGATCATAATGTACACTTTTGAAGTCGTTAGGAACAGACTGCTTTTTTTTTTTTTTTTCTTTTTTTTTCCGAGATGCATGCCAGAAGGCACAATGGTAATACCAATAAAAATCCTCTGTTCTGAAATCAAGTGTGTCTGGATTAGAGGGTTAGAAAGTGGTATTTTTCGCAGTCTTAATTCAGACATAGTGGAGACAATTGCTTGTTCGTTCATTCTTGATTTTGAAAAATGGAATCACTTGAGTTTTCCGTAATGCTCTTTAATCATGAACATACTTTCAGTTGTATACCAGTATATGCAAAAGCAAATCTTCATTGTGATGTATTTTAATCTGAAATAGTGAAAATTGTTTCAGTTTGCTTTAAATCTTTAAGTCAACTTTTAAACCAGTGGTTAAGCCTTCCTTATTCTTTCTTTTTTGAAGTATAGTTTCTCAAACTTAATCCACTGTTGGTTTTGATGATTGTTTTAATGAGAACAAGGATTTGCTGTTCCATGTATCTTAATTGGCTTGCTGAGTGTCCTATTTAACATGGAGAGGAAAACAAACCCAGAACATAATTTACAACAGTCATTTGAGTAGTACCCTTATATTGTAATAAGAATAATATGAACTAATAAGGCGAAAACAAAGTAACTAATAATGTTCAGGAGTAGATGGACACTTTTTGTTGTGTTGAAAGAATTGTAGCCTATGAATAACTTCTGGTCTAAGATCCCATTTTGAGGCTATATATTGTATGAAAATGTGCTTCCTTGATGTCATACATTTAAGCTTAAACACAGCATTTCAGGTTGGAATTTGGTGATATGGTGATATTTCATGATAGTAGTGCCTTGGCTACAGTTTGGTACTGGGGAAGATAAAGTGAAGAACTTGGATAGTTGAACTTACTTCCTGGGCAAAACTGATAAATGTGTTTATACATTCACAAAACTGTGTCACTTTGTACAAGAAAGTGAGAATGTATGCATTTCTTTGATGGTAATTGGAAATAAGTAAAAGGATTGATGATAGAGAACTGACTAGTATCCTAATGACCATAATAATCCAGTCTCAGTGGGTAAATCAGTGATGACCCATTTTTTCTCTACAGCTTGCAGTGGATATAAATATCTGAGAATGATAGTTTGGACCTTGCAGTAGGTGTTAATTGGACAGCTGAGTGTGACTGGAACGTATTCTTTCTTCTTTTTCAGTGGTTTGGGGAGAGTGCAATCATTCCTTCCACAATTGCTGCATGTCCCTGTGGGTGAAACAGAATAATCGCTGTCCCCTCTGCCAGCAGGACTGGGTAGTCCAGAGAATAGGCAAATAAAAACACTGGAAGTTGGTGGTTTTTTTTTCGTTCGAAACTTGTTGAAACAGTGTATGTCTGACACCTTCTGCTCCTACAGAAGAATGGAACATGTCAATCGTGGCATAATTTATTTAGTTTTATCTGCTAGAAGATAGGTGTGGCTTTGCTGTATGCTGTTTGCTGTAGGAGGAGGGAATGGTCAGTCTTAATGCAGATGTTTCCACAATAAAAAAAAACAAGAGACACTATGTTAACAAATGTATCTGTTATGATTTGAGTGTTAACTGTATCAAAGCATAGAAGTGTGGTAGTGCAGATTATACCCTAAATACAGTTTAGTTAATGTTTTTGTTTAGGTAAATGAATTAACTTGCAAGGATGACTTTACCTGTAAGTCTGAAACACTGCATAGTTTATTGTTAGGATCAAGAAATGGTTTTCTGAGTAATACTGTATACAAAAACAGTCAGTGAGGTTTTTTAGGAAGTATTCTGGGGTTTACTCTAAATAGTGTGTAAAGCATTTGCTATATGCTTTTTCTATCACACTATACTAAACATTTCTAATTTAGCTTTACGACTTCAGAAAATTTTGTTTTCTTGTATCTCTGTCTCTTGTTACATTATATTCTATGCATGATTTCCACAACCATAGCATTAAAATTTAACTCCATTCATAATTCTTTATTTCTGTTAAAGATAATTGAAACATGTATATTTAATCTAGAGACTTTTGGTACAAAGACATGTATTTGATATCAGTTGTCTGGGGGCATAAACAATCCTGCTGGTTAGCTGACTAATATAGAAAGCCAACAAAACTAGTATTTTAATAATCCCAAGGAAAGCAGGTACTAATTAAATCTAGGGAAAAATGTGTAATTGTTTTTTGTGAAAATTCACTTAATAGAAATTTATCATCATTTTATTGGTTACAGTGTTTTGGAAGTGGGAGAAAGCATGTCATTTTTGTGGAAATTCTCAATACAGCATTTTTTATATATATATGTATATATATATATATATATATATGAATCATGGGTTTTTTCTTACAAATATTTAAGTGCTTGCCTCTGACTTTGTCGTTTCCCTAAATATCCAAAGTAATTACTATTAATCTGACCATATGATGTAGGATTTTTTTTTTTTAATATATATAATGGGTTGAATTACTGCTTTAAATCTGTAAGAAATTCAGGCTTGTTAAAATGGATAATAAACCTGGGTGAAATTGAAAAAATATTATATGCGTATCGTGTTTACTTTAAAGTTATCATCTTAAATGTTTAATGCATCTCTTAGCAGATGTATTTCTGTCAGTTCTGTTTATTTAAAGAGGTTTATCTTCTCTGTATAAAGTAGTTCCAGTGTCAATCTCTGTTATCAAGCATACATGTAGAGTTTACTGTGCTTTTGTGTAATACTTGTAATCTTGTTTTTAAAATGTTTTTATTTTTTAAATATAACTTTTGTTTCATTACAAACTGAGATCAAAGAATTTTCTCTGTCACTGTTACCTTGTATGACTTTGGTTGTTATTATCCCAGATGATGTCTGTCTTAAAATTGAAAATAGCTATAAAATAGGTTAACAGTAGTAATGAAGTGCCCTTAGCCCTTATATTGTTGAGGAGTATTTGTATTTGTGTAAAATAATTCTCCCTAAAATGACTGCGAAAAAATCTGATGGGATGTGGAAATAGGTTTTATTTGTTAAAGTGAAACTTTATCTATTCACCACCTATTTTTTGTGCCAGAATGGTCCCAGGCTCAATCTTCTAACATCTGTTAATTCCATCTAGTCCCATCAGAGGGCTTCTTTCTTCATTTTGCTTTTGTTTGTAGGTGAATATGGGAAGTACCAAAGTAATTTTCACTCTGCTTTCTGTTCACATCATGTGCGTGACAAGAGCAGCAAATAACTGTAGAAGAGCTTTCCAAAGTGTTGGCTCAAATAGGTGTTTACACAGATGAGGATAGTTAATATTGAAATCAAAGCAGCTGATAGTTGTGTATCTTTTTGAGTAGTAACTAGAGGTTCCCCTAGAATAAAACATAATAAATTATGTCTTGCATATTTTTTCTGAGATTAGCTTAAGTCACAGTCTTTCTACAAGCTTTACATCAGAGAAATTTTCCTCTGTTCCAAAACATACCCTGACATTCAATTAGTGTAGTTCTTATTAAGTACCATTTTTAGTCCTGAGTTTGTTCACCTCTTGTACATGCAAACCAGATCAGTTTTGCTTCTCACCCAAGCATACTGTTTTATTAGTAGGTAACATGAACTTAAATAGTCATTATTGACTGGTAGATAAATGCTGATCTGCTTTTCTCTGTTGTTTAATAAATGATGGGCATATCTTGTAGTCTTCTCTGAGAAGTGACTGGAGTTATGAATATGCATCCAAAGATCATATTGTTTCACTTTGCTTTTTATGAAGCTGTGTTCTTCTAGAGAAAGTTTATGTTCCATACAAATTGGGAAAGATTCTCATTAACACAGCAGAATGATTTTTGGACCTCTAAATGTCTTTCTTACACAGGTACCATAAACATCAGGTGTTTTCTTGATTTGCTTAGACGTGAATATATCAGCAGCTGGTGTAAGCTTGAGTTCACCCTCAGGTCCCCAGCTACCAGCGATTTGTACTGCTATTCAAGCTCTGATAGCATTCTTGTTAAATGCAAAATAGGCCTTGCTGAATTTTTATTGCCTCCTTTCTTGCTCTTCTGTACCCAGGATGTTACAGGAATATGTTTCTGTGGGCACTTTTTTCAGTAAAACCACCAGAAGAATTCCACAGTTCTTCCTCTGACTTTTTCCAGTTTTGCTTTCTCTGCTAATACTAGCTGCATTATTTAGTCATTTATGTAATCCCCTGCCTGGTTCTTCCATTCACCTGGTAGAATTAATGACTGCTGTACCAGCAAGACTTTGAAGTACTCAGCTTTAGAGTACACTGTGTTCTCCTGCACACATAGCAGTTTGTGATGGATGGCTCTCTCAATCACAGCTAGAAAAACACACTGCTAATGTAATTTTTGTAGAGAATAAGCATGAGTTTTATGTCAAATCTATTCAATGCAGACAGGATTAAGCATGGAAAACAAAATACTACATAGTAATAGAGTGACAAAAACCAGCAAAGAAGGGCTTAGCACTTACTGTCAGGAGTTTTAGAGGTGCCTGTTGTTACTCCTGATGTTAGCATTTGTGATTCAGCTCTTCAGCTTGCTCTAAGAGTGAAAAAGAGAAAAGGGAACTTGACCTTGACCTCAGGAGTGCAGCTTGACCTCATTGCTACTGGAAGAATCATGGAACTGCTTTTCCTGATGCCATAATACCTTCCTTATATCCAAAGAAAGTTTTAGCAGCAAAATTGCATGACACATGACAGAAGGGGGCTTAGCCCAGTAAATGCAACACATAATTTTTCTTTTGGGGAAAAAAATGGGGCACAGGCTTCCTGGTAGTCAGGTGGAATTTGCCTTCGCTTGATTATAATCAGCTTTGTTCTTTTGTTGGTGTCACCTCAACCATACACTGTTGCTATCTGCCACTTACTGTCATAAAGCTCAGCAGGGAAAATAAACAGGCCATAGTAGCATCTGTCAGTGTCTTGGCAAGATTTGGCTGGTCATTTGAAGTGTTCTTTTTTCTGTGGGTAGGATATGAAGTTAGAACTATGTTTTGTATATAGGGATCATTATTTTTAGAACAGCAGCAGGTCTTAGCCTCTGCATGTAATCCGCTCAGACAGAGGCACATGAGGCATCAAGGTTTGTGCAAGGTATCTGTGGAGCTCAGTCATTAATGTTGAGTGTAATTTGAGTTGTGGAAGCATGGATGCTCAAATAACTGAATTGTGTGATAATTTGAAGTCCAGTGCCTCATTTTCAGTGCCTCATGATGTCCCTGTCTATGGCAGGGGGATTGGAACTGAGTGATCTTTAATGTCTCTTCCAACCCAAACCATTCTGTGATTCTGCCTTCATCTGTGTCAGCTTCTGTTTCAGACATGGGAGATATGTGATAAAATTTTTTATGAAATCGGATCCAAACATAAATAATTCTTAGTACATTGGTGTTCTGTGTATTGAGCAAAGTTGATGCAAGACTGTCCTGTTAACTGCAGCCAGTGTGCCACCAAGTTTGGAGTGTGCACATATTGCAGACAGAAATCTGCATGTTCTCAGCAGCCAGGGACAATGCATATAGAGGGTATCTTGGTACATATAAGGGTTATCGGGGCCCATTTGAGAAAACACCAGCTGAACTGCATGCATTTGATGCTGCCAATGAGAAGGCTTGCCGAGGATGTCATCCCTCAGCTATACATAGCAAACTCAAAGCTCCTTACAGAGAAACCTCTTACCAGTCACTTTCCACAAATGGTGCATGCACCTAAAAGTACTTAGTGAAAATCCTTCAGAGGTATTTAATGCAAAAGCAGTTAGTCTCTGGTGTTGTTCAGAAGCCTGCACACACCACCAGCAAGGAGGAAGTGCAGGGCAGCTGTAGCACAGCACTTGGGCTAGTTTCTCATTTTGTTTCAACCAGGCTCTGCCACCCCAAGAGCTTGTCAAGATGTGTGACATGGGGGGGCTTGACAACCTGATTGCCAACACAGCCTATCTGCAGGCAAGGAAGAGTGGAGATGGAGACACAAAGGAGATGCAAAAGAGACGTAGGAGCCTCTCGCTGCCCAAGGTTGATCAGTGCAGAGATGTTAGACAGTCCATTGTGGCTGATTATGACAACATCTGTGAGCAGCAGCCCATTGGCAAGAGATTCTTCAGAGACTTCTTAGAGACAGTGCCAGAATATTTGGTAGCTAAAGACTTCCTGGATGAGGTGTCAAACTGGGAGTTGGCAGAGGACAATATCAAGAGCAGTACCATGGAGAATATGATAACCAATTTTCTTAAGACAGGCTCCAAAAACTATCTGGCTTTTATGAGCTCTGACTTGGCCAGCAAATGCCAGGCAGCTACTGCAAATGACTATGAGAAGGTTGTGCAGATGGCCAAGGAGGAAACCAAGCTCTTCCTTAAAGGCAAGCCATTCCAGGACTTCCAGACCAGCCCCTTCTATGACAAATTCCTCCAATGGAAAGTTTTTGAGAAGCAGCCAGTAACTGAAAAATACTTCTATGAGTTCCGAGTGCTGGGCAAAGGTGGCTTTGGAGAGGTAAGAGCTATACTTTTACAGATGTGGGTCATTCCTCCTGTTTCAAGACCAGCAGCTGAGTTTGCAAAGAGGAACTTGCAGTGGGTTAAGTAGTTATCTAAGCTTCTGCAAAATTCACTCTTTCAGATTGTCCATTTCACAAAAATTAGTCTGAGTTTATCAGTGATACGGGGTCCAGATGCCTGTTAGTGAAGAGCTACTCTAGAACTTTTATGTTCTGTATCTATGCTAGTAAAAAACCAAGTTTCTTTACAAAAGCTTGCGTGACTGTTCATATAGTTAATCATTAGTATTCTCCTTGGCACCTTCTTAGCTGGTGCTAGCGCGCACTCCCACATAATTCTAGATGCGGTTTAGGGAATAGCACAGATTAGGATCTGTTCCCAAACACAGTATGAGTGAAGCTACTTTTATCCAGATGTAAGACTGTAGCTATACAGGTGAAAGCTGTATATACCACATATTCTTATGGACAGGGAATTGTTCCTTTTATTTGCTAATTCAAGTCTATTAATGTCATCCTCAAGAACTTTGCGTAAGGTGCACCATACACTGGTCCTGGACAAAGCAGATTGTACACTTGGTTTTATGATGGTTTTCTCTGCTAATATACTCCACCATAGAAGTTAGCTTTAGCAGCTACTAGTAGGTATCTGTGATTCCCCAGTTCCTGTCTTGATGCTGTAGTCTGTATGTGTAAAATTCCTTCATTACCTTTCTGACTGCATCTTGTTTGTCTAGGTTTGTGCCATCCAGGTGAAAAATACTGGCAAGATGTATGCCTGCAAGAAACTGGATAAGAAGAGGTTGAAAAAGAAAGGGGGAGAGAAGATGGCATTACTGGAGAAAGAGATCTTGGAGAAGGTTAACAGCCCTTTCATAGTCACACTAGCTTATGCCTATGAGAGCAAAAGCCATCTGTGTCTTGTTATGAGCCTCATGAATGGAGGGGATTTGAAGTATCACATCTACAATGTAGGAGAAAGGGGTTTGGAAATGAAGAGGGTCATCTATTACTCAGCTCAGATCACTTGTGGGATTCTGCATCTCCATTCTATCAAGATTGTGTACCGGGACATGAAACCAGAAAATGTCCTCCTGGATGATAACGGCAATTGCAGACTGTCTGATCTTGGATTGGCAGTGCAAGTCAAAGAGGGAAAAAGCATCACTCAGAGGGTGAGTATAAATTCATTGAACATGGGTGGTGAGAAAGGAAGCTGTTCTATTTCTAATGCATTCAGGTTCAAGACTTAATTCCCCAGGATTTGTTCTTTGATAAAGACCTTAGGTGGTCATTTCAATCTAAGAGACAGGTGGTAAGAAGATTTGGTTGATTAACTCTCTAGATGCTGCTGTGTAGTAAAATAACTTCTCTTACTCAGAAATGGTAGAATCACATTTACCTGTTGTTTCTCTTAGATAAACTCTTGAGCTGATCATTTTAGAGAGGCTAACATAGGTTCCTGGAGCAATAGTGCATAGTCAGGGATTTAACCAATTACTTGGTTGTTTAATGAGCAGCAGTCAAAAATATTACTTCTCCTGTCTTCCATTTTTGCTTTTAGAAGAATACAGTTTCTTGTAGATTACTCTGAAGTGATGCTGCTGATCTTATTGCAAGTGTTCATGGTGCTGCACAATAAACCCCTGCCATCTTTCCCTCAGTAATTAATTCCTAGAAAAGTCGATAGACTTGATCACAGTTTGCAGATGTACATGCTTCTGTGTGTAGGAAGAAAGAGATGGATGATTAGCTGGTTTGTGCTGTTTGAATCAGATGTGCAGCCTGGAGTCATCCCAAACTAACCCAGATTTGTAATAATGTCATGAGATTTCCGCAAGAAAGGTGTGTTCAGGTAGCTTAACTATGAAAAAAGCATATTTGTCCTGAGGAGTCTGGAGCTTAAAGATGTATATAATGAGGGAATGTGTCAGAAATATGTATATGAGAATATGAAGAAATGAAAGCAACGTTATAAACTGGTCTAACTGCTTTCTATTAAACTCTCCAAGTCTTTCAAGTTCCTCTAGAAATTCAGTGGAAGAGAGATGACCTGCTAGTAGCCTTTTGGATCATTGAAATACACACATCTTTTGATGCTATTTCTTAATACAGTGATTTGTAGTTTGATGGATTTTTTTTTTCCCTGGCCATCTAAAAAGTTAGCATTATGAGTGGTTTTAGTTCTCAGTGAAAGAAATTCTGGAAACTTATGTAGTTTAGATAGGAAGTAATTTTTTAATGAGACTGCATTGTTTTAGATGTGAAAATATAGTTTCTATGAAAGCTAAGGCAGGCTTTTAAGTAGACCTTGTGTGAAATGGGAATGTTTTGTTTGTGAAGATGGCATTTTGATCTGTGAACCCAAAGCTTTGCAAGTTACAGATGCATGCAATTGCTATGATATAAAAAGAAATAAATCCTTTTGTCCAAGGGCACTTTTTCTACTTGTAACTCTGTAGGGTTTGGCAAAAGAAACAAAAAAAAAATCAAATGAAAGTGTATTTAGAAATGTCTAACTACTTCTATTGGTAGTAGGGTAGAATCTCAAAGCAGTAGTGGACAAAGTTGTTGTTCCTCCTCGTTTTCTATGACAGTCATGAAGTTGTATAATGATTTTTCTTCTCTTGTTGTTCACTGGTTCTAGGAGTGCTCTTCACTCTTATATGGGTCCTTTTATTAGAGGAAAAACTGCAATGGATAATACACTACATGATTGTAGTGTGTTAAAAGGGATTTCTGCTAAAGGCTGTTCTCTTTGTACAAGAAATTGAAATAGAAGGAAGAAAAGTACAATTCGTTTTTTTTCATATTATAACTATGAGGAATTTAAATGAATAATAATTCCCAGTATTATTTTGCATTTCTATAAACTTGACCTTATTTGAGTCATTTGAAACCAACTACTACAAACATTTATATAGCGTCAGATATTACTACTATTTCATAGTAATATCTTACACAGGAAGACCTAAAAACACCTTTACAAAATTCATTGTATTGAGCTTCACTGTGTATCCCTGTAATAAATAAAACTGGTACAGTTAATTTTTATTTACTAATCACAGTTATATTGTGACTTAAAATTGGCAGAAAGTTTGTATCATAACATGCTTTTTGAGTATGACTACCAAATTGTTATCACTTTAATACAGTTTTGAGAGAAGATAGTTGTATACACTTGGGTTTTTTTACCAGAAAGATATATGGCTGAAAGACAGATCCATTAAATTAAATTTAATCAGTTGCACCATTTTGTGAACACATTTTATAAGAGCAATTTTATAAGCTAAAGCAGAAAATCTATTCTTCCCGGCCAAGTTTGTACTGTACTGTATATCTGAGTGAAGTGCTTGTTTCTGGGTTTTGGATGATGGTCCCTGAGCTTAAAATTTTCAGTCACTAACTATAAGGAAAATATTATTGATTATAACATAGAATCTTTTCATTTCAACTTATTTAACCATATACAAAGAATCCTTCTGGTTTTATGGATGTTGTAATACAATGAACTTCATAACTCCAGGAGTTCTGAATTTAAAGCCTTATAACGCTCTTTTATGACCTGGGTCTTCAATATTATACTTAAAATACTGTTCTATTGCACTGCAAGAGTAATGTCTAACTTTGCTTTAATTGTATTCATAAGTCATTCTGTTGCCTGAAAGTAATTAACTAATATGCGTAGTACCAGGTGAAACCATGGTTTAACTGTCTTACTTACTTACTTATACATATTATGAAGAATGAAGATAGTTTATTTGTTAAATGTTAAGTGGAAAGGATTTTTAAAATTTCACCTACTGCGATCTGTCTGTAAGGTGATGTATTTAAAAATTTGGCTTTTTTTTCCTGCTGTCTAATGAAAGCTTGTCAGCTTCAGTTGTTCAGTTTTTCGTTTTATTTCATGTTTTTCATCTTAGAAACCAGTAGCAGCAACTGTTGAATGTCTTGTTTTGATGAAGTACTGTTTCAGAGGGTGGGAAAAGTAATGTGCTTTTCTCAGTTGTATTGTAACATTTTACTTTCATTGAACAGATTTCTACAATGCAAGCTACCCTTACATTCATTAAAGCTATTCATATTATGCGATTGTGTTCATGCTAAGTATGGACATCCTGTTTCAGTCACATGCTCTGAAACAAAAAAGCAGAATTCTTTTTTGAAAACAGAGCACTTTCCTCCAAATTGTTTTCTTCAGGTGTGAACTAAATGAATATTAAATATGAAGTAAAATAATTAAAGATTTTTCAACAACTGTCTAAAAATACCTCTCAGCGATTTAGGTTTTTCTTCCTGAGTACTAATCTTTTCATGATCTCTCAATTTCTTCAGGTATTAAGTGGATTTTCCTTGTGAGTAAGCAAAATAACATAGAAAATTCTTCCCTACTTTCTATTTATCAGGAGGAGCCATTTTTTTAAGCACCTGCTTAAAAATATATTCATCTGCATGTGTTTAACTGTAACTATGCTGGTATGAAAATATCTCTTAATACACTGGAGACAGTGAAACAAAACAGCGGTTTTCCACCTTTTTTTCTATGTCTTTATTTTTTGCTGCATATTATAAGTAGAAACATCATGTGATGACTTTGATCATTCCTTATACAAGGTTGAATAATATATCCTATATGGATTTATGAGTATTTATTTAATGATATTGCAAAAAATAGAGTATTTTGATGCATTCTGCAGGTTTTGCACACCTCTAATGAGTCACTGAAGATATATTTCTTCTGCTTTCAAAGCATAAAAAAAATCCTAGCCCCTCATGTATGAATAAATGCACATCACCCATGGATCAGCTGGAGGATCCATAAATCCCTTTTGTAAATCTTGTTAGGGATTAGGTTATCACATGGCACAAGTGATAAGCTAGTTAACGAGTTCCTGTTTTAGACATTTTCCAAGTTTTTGGTAGAGAATTCTATGAAACTTTAATGTTTATGAGCTGTTTACCAGTCCAAGATTATTTTCTCTGTGAGTGAAAGGTTTTATGAATTTTAGAGGGGTGACTTCAGTGTGGTCTTCTTATAATGTATGTTTATACTGCAGAAAAAGCACTGTGCAACTGATAATTTAATACTTAGGTAATTGAGCAAGTAGCCTTGGTATCATTTATCATTACATACACTCCTTTTGAAATATGTGTGCTTTATATCAATTGTCTGTAATTATAAATAAAAAAACCCTACTTACAAAAACAGTGCTTCTTGCAAAGGTCTAGAAAGAGTTGGATACCCAGCCTTAGTTTTCTTTCTTCTCAACTGCTAAAGCAGCAAGTGGAAATACCCACTTTTCTATGTGAATGTTATTTTGAACATACATAGGCAGTTGTAATTGGTACAGTAATAATTATGGAGTGGTGTTCTGATTTGTCTTTGTGAAGTGCTAGCTGGCTTTAGAATGGAGAAATCATAGAAAACCTTCCCGTAAGTCTGAGCAATAACAGTAGGAGGCAGTTGAAAGCTACTTACAATGTATTTTTTCTTACTGAAACAAACATGGATGAGATGGGATTTTCTCATGGTATGTACATGTACCTGTGCAATCTACTTAGAAATGTATATATGCACAGTTAGGCAGAGTTCTTACTGACATCTCTGGAAACAGAAATAAACTCTTTGCCAGTGATAATTATTCAGGACTTTAGCAAACTTTTCATATAAATGAATATATAGGATCTGTTCTGATGTGTTGATCATACCATGCATAAACTAGATAGTATTTTAAAATTGTGCCTTTTTAAATCTTGAAATTCTCTTGGGCTTATACAATTGAAATGGGCAACAAGGAGAAACTTGAGAGCCTGCAAAGATGGTCTTTGTGCAAGCAAAATGTTTGTATAGTTACATACTCGCTTGGTTGATTCTGGAACTAGTTCTTTGTACATGTGACAGAAATGAGGAGTGTGCATCCCAAGTTTATCCGCTTGAACAGTGTAACCTGGCATCCTTTTTCTTGAAGTCTCTGTCACTTTTTCATGTACAACTCAAAATCCACTTTTTCTATGAGTCAAACGTTCCTGCCCTTATCCAGAAGAGTACTACTACTCAGTTTCCTGAGAATGATTGTGAGAAAAGTGAGCATATTCTGTTTACTACTACCCTCATATCCTCCCCATATCAAAACATAGAGGACTTAATTCCATTTTTCCAGAAGTCAGTGCGTAT